CCTATTGGTAAACGAAACTGAACAAATTACTCAGGAACATTCATAAGAGGGATGCATAGGAAGTTGAAAACCTCTGAGTGTAGAAGAATATTGAGACAAATTTCGATTTCACTAAAGAGTTAAATTAAAATCCAAGGGAAGGGAAAGCATGACTGAATGGGTGTTCTGACCTATTTCAGTGTTTGTTCAAAAAATTATATACAGCAAATCTGTTTCAGGGAATCTATTTGGCGGAAGCTGGTGAAGTACAGCTACCGTTTCTCAGAGGGCATCCATTCCAGCTTGGACTTCGGTAGTTCCTCCTACTTCAGCATTTTTTTGTTTTTTAACAGCCTTCAGCAGCTCATACAGAAGAGTGGCCTTCCAATAGTTTCCTTTAGTTCATCGAGAAGGCCTTACAATTGATGCTATATCCAGTTCGAACCTTCGCAAACACGGGCCTTCCATCACAGACCTCGGAACAAAAATTTAGCTTTTTTACTTATTTACTGCTAGTTATTTGGGACAGTACACTATGATTCATTTCTCGATGGCGAAGGAAGCACAGCGGTGGTGTGTGGCATGGGATTTTACCATGCCCCCATCAAAACCATAATGCGCATGGCAGTTCAATACCAAAGAAATTCAATGTTTTGCAGGTTCCAAGAGGATCGTTTGGAGATACTGTCTTCCAACAAGCAAGTTCTCCAATGCGAACACCCATTGCCAATCAGTGAAGTTCAAGGTATTGGAATAAAAGGAAACTGCATGCTTAAATCTGTACATGGGGCAGGACGTAGGTAAGCAGACTAGTAACTGCGTTCTTGGTATCATAGTGATATTTACAAATCTTCCAGATGGTATCCTTCTCCGTGGTACGCGTTTTTCCCTGAAGGTTATGTGAGATTTGGTAAGAAATACTTTATTGGGAATCGCCTGAGATTGTTTTAAACTTATTTCAGCTGTTTAGGTCAAAAATTCATCATTCATGGAACCCCTCGGGGCGATATCTTCAGTGTCGATCTCATCGGCCCATCCAACAACGTTCCGTTCTCATTCACCCCCTGTTTCCAGAAGAATCAGGTACGGTATCCTGTTCTAAGCAATCCGTTGTATCATCAAGCTACCCTTGTCCTTTAGATAGTGCGTAATGCAAGCAGACAGGGTGAATGGGGGCAAGAAGAAACCGATGGGAGGTTTCCATTTGAGAAGGATCAAGATTTCGATCTGATTATTCGGTATGATCCCTCTGATATCAAGGTGAGTCTTTGTGATTGAGCCGTAATGAAAGGAATTGCTAATCTTACATGCCGTTCGTCTTCATTCACGATGCAACGTCCCTTTCCAAGATGACATGTGAAACTGGTCTTTGGAGGCTGTGGGAGTTCAGATCCGTAGGCTATGCGACCTAGAAAAATATAATGGAATGCATCTCCAAATTCATGGTGTGGAAAGGGGTCAAGGGTTTGTCTGATTCTGAGAATGCTTAAGGTTATGCCCATAGCCGAAGATTGAGCTTCATTTTCCGTCACCTTGTGATCTTGAACTAAGTCAGTTATACGATTGGGCGGTACAGCTGTTTAAACTCGTGAGGGTACCATGTACTGAAGTAGGGTAGGGCAAGGTACTACTTAAGATCGATTGAGTTGAGAGCAGAGAGATCTGATCATAGCCCACTGAGAGCACACCTTCTGGATTCCCAAGCCCTTTTGTGGGCCCACGCAGGTGATTACCATGCTCCACTTCAACGTTTATTCCATCATCCTCGCTTGCTGCAGTTACATTAAATGGTTTTACTTCCAATCTTATGAGTTCCGGCAATTTTGTTAGCTCCACTTTGAAAGTTTCTCCCAATTTCTTTTACCACGCGCCATTGGCAATGTCGATTATTCACGATTTGGCTGTTATCCACTATTTTTCTATCTTCCATTCCAAGGCAACTAGCCAATGTGAACCGTTCATATTTAGTACTTTGTGAACCGTAAGCAAGTTGGATCGTTCGCTCATCGGTTTGAAGAGCCCGAAAGGGTTTGCACTGGAATGCGAATCCTCGGAGATGTTGAAGTGCACGGCGTAGAATTGGTCAGTCGTACCACAGTAACATATTAATATCGGGTCGTCTAACTTTCAAGTATGTGCCTTTTTGAGTGCTTTTGCGTGAAAGCGTTTCCAGTATATAGAAACTATCGTCAAGTAACTCACTGGAAGGGATCCCATTTTGCAACCGAATTCTCGTTGTTATTAAATCTCCTTGAAGTCATGTTTAGGCTCATCTTGCTGATTCTCGCATTCCCGTTCCGCTTACGGTTAGACTAGGCCAGAGGCTGAGGCCCGGAGAAAATATCTGCATTCGTGGAGCCGTCAAGAATGATGCCAGCGGGTCAGTACTTCTACATGATCGTTGAGGATACCTAACGCAATCTTCCATGATTCGATAAAATGCTCTAGATTGATGCTAGCCGTTTTTATCAATCACTAAAAAAGTATCGACACTCCTATTTCCAATTGGGGAATTAGCGAATTGTAGGTTTAACGTCAATTTCCTGCGAGGCGATACCAGAGCAGATCCATCGCAGACGGTGCTGTTGATGGATTTTCGTTTCGATGAAAACGCAATCGTCATGAACACCTCCACAGTTAGTATTTTGCTCTGTTGGAGGATTCTATTCAAAGAACTTCAAGCGCACCTATGGAACTTGACTTTGGGATTCGATTTCAGGATGGCGCATGGGGGGAAGCAGAACGAGTGTCGTTGCCGTTGCAGAAAGGGGATTCTTTCAATGTGGATGTCGGGTAAGTCCTCACGCTTGACCTTTTCCCTTGCTGAATGCTTTGCTCTTTGCTCTTTGGCCCTTGAACAACATCTTCTTCTGTTTTAAAGATTGTGTGTGATATCTATGGCGAATTTGATCCATTTGCAGTGTCACTGTCGCTAGCATGGAGATTTCTTGTAACGGGAATTTGATTCACGAATACAAGCATCGTGTTCCATTCGATGAAATCACCTATATCCAAATTAATGGAGACTGTACCCTTACCAATGTGTTTGGTACGGGACGAAGGTAGACGGACTTTGAAGTGATACCTCAATATCATAGTGAAAAGAAACCCAATGAAATTTGAAGGTACTTCTCGGTCCCATGGCTGACGGGCTTCCCCGACGGAAATCTGAAAACCGGTAAGCAATGTTATTCCTTGGGAACTTCTCGCTTCAGGCATCTGAGAAGGCATTACAGGCCAGAGAATTTTTGTGCATGGCGTATCCAAAGGTAATAGCTGGAACCTCGATCTGCTCGATTATGATGCTGATATTCTGTTCCGTTTCAATCCTCGGTTTGATAATAAACAGGTAAGACATTTTAAAGCGAGAACTTCATTTTCTAAGAAGCTGATTTATCATTAATGTTCGAGTCTATCATTCAGATAGTGCGTAATTCGTCCAAGGCTGGACAGTGGGCTAACGAAGAAAGCGGCGGGCCGTTCCCGTTTGAAATAGATCAGCCATTTGATCTCGTTATTGAGAACGAACCGTCTTCACTGAAGGTAAGCATTGTGGGACACTGCCGAAGCAAAAATTAGTCCCTTCTCGACTATTTGCAGCTCTTCCACAATCATTTCATAGGTGCCCCTCAGATTTAGGGAAATAAGGCCCAATTGTACTACTGTTTTTGGCATATGGATACCCGCGAGTAACTTGCCAGGTTCTGTTCTGGGAGCTGGGTAGATAACGGGTGGGTACTAGACTATTTCAGAGTGGACTAGGGGCTTAGATTTTGGAAGCGACTCCGAAATCCTCTACCGGACTACTTGCCGGTCACTCGAATGCAAGCTTTTGGCTGAGCCGCTGTGCAGGATGCCGACAGCACCCACAGACTCTCCCCATACGTATGCTTGGATACATCTGCGAGGATACGGAGGTATAAATCGACCCAGTGCAGCAGAATCATGGAGTCCATCCCCTGAATCCATCTGCGACTCAGTGCAGTTACCGATGACTTCCAGTCAACGATTTACTCCCCTATCCGCCCCTGGGGCCCACGTAGCCTCGACACCAGCCCCAACTGGCCAAAAATCTCTCAGTGAGAGAAAACCCTCGAAGGAGGAGATCCGCGATCCGACGAAAATTTGACGAGAGAGGTACATTTTGCGAGTTGCCTCCGATCCTTATAGTGAGAAATTCTGATAAAGCAAGAGAATTTTTCATTATTCCATAAGCTATGTAGCTGTAGAAAGAGTTTGGAAATGCGACCCTTTCCACAATTTCCTAATTCATTTGGAGGCAACTAATCAACGGGCTTTTCTCACTTATAGATTATTGTGAATGGTGAAGAAATTGGAACATTCGAGCATCGTACGGATGATCCTATGGGAGACTACTCTGAAATGAGACTCGAAGGTGATATCGAAGTGACCAAAATCGATGTCAAGTGAGATCGCAGACAAGTACTGTCTGCGAACCATTTGATATCATTCGATTGTCCCTGAAATAAAGCTTTCATTGCATTCCTGGCTTGTCGAGCCTAGAAATTTTCACAGAAGGAATTTCTATGGAAGCAATCATGTCCGAACTTTGGCAAGTCCTCACCTAGCCTTTACTTGCTGCTAGCAGTTGCAATGCTGAACTTTCAAGCCTAATCCTATATGATTCGGCACAGTTTCCGCCACGATTATTGCTAAAGCAATAAGTTTTATCACACAGAAACCTTCCATGGCCAGTGATATCTGCTTTCTTCATTCCCACACACAGCCTTGCAGCCTCTTTTGGGACACTCTATCTGATGAAGTAGGAAGGCCATTAGAGGAAGAGCATTATGAATTTGTTGTGCTTGATTGCCAATCGTGCGATTTCACCAACGGAACGGCTCCATAGTGGGTTGTATACAATTCACTGCTAGGCAGGACGGGAACGGGATTTGCTTATTTCTTGTTATGTTCCCTCCAATTGCAGGGAATGGGTCTGAGCAGAAATGGTATGGATGTCGATTAGGAATTAGTGGGCTCCGAGTAAACAAAAATGTTTTCCTACTTCATTGGGGTGGCAATAATGATGCACTAATGCAGTGCTCCTGTTCTTTTTTGAGAAATATGGAGCTCCTATCTCCCCTTCGGTGCTTGGTTGAAGTGCTGGTAAATTACGGTCACGTTGCGGTCCTTAGTTTTAATGATGATTATTAGTTACTCAACCGAGTTGAAGAACTTACGCGTGTAATGCACAGAAAAAGGAGGGGGTTCAGTGCCAAGTGAAGCGTGTTCCGGGAATGAAGTGCAGGTTCGATTCCTATTCGGAATACCAAACCTTATTTCATTCAAGAGCCAAGTAATGGTACAAAATTCGTCTGAAAGGATGAAACTACTGATTCGTACATCGGCTGCGTCTCCGCAAATCATTTTATGGGCCATAAACGCAGTCAGAGCCCCTAAGATTTCGAATGAAGGTCTAGTGTATGGACGCATGGTAGAAAGACGGATTTAATCAACGCCAAAGGACCTTTGTTCGCTATCCATCCGCTACGAACGAGCTATGTCCTCTTAGCTAGGCCATATGAAGGCATTATACATCGGATTCGCCAAAGACCAATAGACTAGAAATAAAGAGGAAACGATAAGAATCGGAAGTCAGCAGCACCTTCCTTATGACCCCAGCAAGAGAGACATAGGAATTCAGCTTGCGTTGAATACAATGGCGAAAGAACAGGAAGAGAACGTATTTGTAGATTTGGATCAACAAAGAAAACTTGGAGCTTCGGTATGTGAATGTAAGAAAGATGGGATGGAATGGCGAGATGGTATCGACGACACGGTAGCACAGGCGGTAGCTCTCCGCTGAAAGCCAAGGGAGTCGCGCTTTTGGAAAGTTTTGAGTAGAAGTCTCCCTGGATCCTAGTTTCAGATACATATCCTATTCCTAGGATGATAACAGGTTATACTTCCAGTTCGACTTCGACGGTATAAGCAAGAAGGCAAACGTCTTCATTCTCTCTTCGATTATTGTCGTTATACGCTTCATTGCCTACGTAGCTCTTGTCATCAGAGCTTACCGCAGTTGTTAAAAGCACATATCATAATAAAATTCTACCCTTGCAGTGGAAATTTAAACCTTTCCCTTCAAAGCGCGCGAGTTAGCTAGTACGCGGTGAAAGGTAAGACACATTGCTCTGCTGTGGCTGAAATTTCATTCGAGCACCCTTCGTATTCACAAGGTCGTCCATATTCAGAAATACCTAGAAAGCTGATCTCTTTAGCACCACGGTCAAATAAGGGTTCACGAACTAATCGGAAACTGTGCCTTTAATAGCATTGATATTTACATAACAAGGGGAATTGTAATAGTATTTTAATTTTTTGCCAAAAACTGACTTGTTTCTTAAAGTAGTCAAGCTCTAGGCTTAATGTTTATTAACCAATCATGCGGTGGGGCTCAGTAGGTTTTACTTTTCACATATGACCGTTTTTATTATATCAAATTTTTGGGAAATAACATTTAAAACTTCCCTGAACTTCCCTCGCTTTGCATTTTTAAGCTTTTTGTGTCGTTAACATAAATGTATTTCTTGGAGGTTGCCATCCTTTTCCAAAATGAGTAGACATTTGTACTGCATTTTATGTTATCTGCATTCATCAAAAAAAAAAATGAAGAAACAATGAAATCAGCGCCGCAAAACCTTGCTTATGAACTGTTCGGATGGACGAGGAGAGCCTTAATACTTAGTTGCTGAATCGTAGCCATCAGATTCACCCAGATGGTTTACTTCAAATATTTCCGATATTGACGCAAGAAATTCAGATGACTGTCATATCCCCACGGTACTCCAGATTTCCAGGCTGATCGGTCATTCTCGCTTAGTCGACCGACGCGCAGCCTAAGAATTGATTCGCACACTCTCACAAATCACTTACTACACTTGAAAAATTCCGTAGTAACTTAGAAGAACGTGCCTGAAAAGGTGCTGTCTAGAAAATTTTCGCCGTCTTGTGTTAAGGATTGTATTTGAAAAAGGTTTTTCCATGTGGAAAGAACGTTTTGTAATGAAGCTTAGGCTCCAGTCGGTTCTAGAAGGAATAAGTCCTTACCTTAGGAATCCACGTTGTTGAGGTGTAGGAGCGTAGAGGTAGCAGCGGTCCTCTGTGGTAGTGTCGTAACTGTCTTCTTAGATCTTTCGTTTGCGTGACGGGATGAGTATTGTAAAGACTATATGCTCGCAAGGAGGCTCAGGGAGAAAAAGCAGACATTGATTGCGCGAGATCACGCCTTCATTATCGATTCGAATGTCCATACACAGATAGAGAGGGTTAGAAGACTATACTACTAACACAGCTACGATTACTATCTACAACTCTCTCATATGGGAGCTGGGTATTCGTTCTTTAGGGTATCGTCCAGTCTCTTTCATTGCATGTGCCACTTCGCGCGCTTCCTCTTTACATCCTTGATGTGGTACGCTTCGAAATCGCGTCGCTTCTACTGTTCTTTTCCGTGGCGGTGACATGTTCCTATTTCGACTTGTCAGAAGACTCCCTTTGCTTGCGTTCAAACTTCGGCAGGACGAGAATGCGCGATGCGATGGGGCGAGTTGGTTGAGGAATATTGCCAGGGCATTAGTCGCTCCTCCCTTATCCTTGGGCAAACGCGTAGACTTATTGCGGGATGCTTAATGGGCACTTCATCGGCAATAGTGCTATAGAAATCCACCATCCTCGCATCAACCCCTCTTGCTGGTCCTGATAAGAATTCGGCTATCTTTTTGCAAATCGCTGCTATGTGTCTCCAGTCCTCTTCACGACTCAATTCGAACGGACTAGAAAATAGTTCCAGCACATTGAGATATCGCTCCACGGCCTGTTGCATGAGTAACATGTGCTGGGTGTGCAGCACCTCGTTTGGCCACACCCACACGAACGCGGATGAGATTTTCCGGTGGTGCAGTTGGCCGCCAGGTCACCAAAGTGAGTGTAGACCATGAATTTCACAGAAGGCGATTCGATGTCGTCAGTCAATACCCTTGCGAAGTGCTTCGGTAGGGCTACCATGATCGTGTTTCTGGGCATGTCGTCCTGTGACTGAGATGTGATCTGCGAACGTCGTGTCATGGCCGTACGGTAATACATGTCGATGTCGTAGCCCGGATTGTTGGGAACAAAGGTGGACGCGCTAACACCACATCTTCTTTGGCTTTGATGCTGAGGCGAATACATAACAGAATTTACTGTGGGCATGTATCGCGGTTGCCAGTCCGTGGATTGTCAGATATCTCGAGTCCTTGTTAAGTAGTTCCGCTTCCTTCCTGTCATCTCCCTAGTGAGGCTGCAGGGCTACTGACGCCGCGTTCGCTGATTTGAAGAGGTTTTTCACCGGCTCAGAGCGAGCCAAATCTCAACGAAGTCCTGGAAGACCGACTTTGGCACGAGCATTGAAAATACCGCACGAGCAGGAGTATGAATGGAGTGGACTTACTCGTGGATTTTTACCTGAAGGATGACTTGCTAGTCACTAAGCACATGGCCTTCTTTTTAGGTCTGCCCCTTTTCGCTCCACTCTTAATAGCCACTACAGGTCTAAGCCACGTGGCAGCTTCTGGAGTCGATCAAACGGAATACATAGCGGGTTTTTGTCCCCCGAAATGGCCGTGATAGCTGCGCTGTTTTCGCTAATCTTGATCACCCTGAACGGACCTGTCCAATCATTCACTAGCTTCGGGTGTGCGGAACTTCCTTTTTCCAAAGGCACTTTCATAAAGACTCTATCACCTATTGCGGGTGGTTTCTCCACCACCTTGTGCCTGCCGTCATAACCACGTTTCATAGTCTTCTCTTGCCTCCTCGGTTCGCTCGCGAGCGCCCTGCCCCGTGCTAGACCTACTCGAGCGACAAACTCATGAACATAATCATCCATATCAACCAAGTGCGGTGAGTTCTCCGTCACTTGCAGGGAATCCCATGGTATTCTCGGTCGAGACCGTGCATAAGGAAGAATGGTGAATCACCTCATGGTGAATCACTGTTGCTTCATGCGCTGTGGTGTTGTACGCGATCATGCAATAGGGAATCATCATATCCCCTTCCTAAAGAGATTCTACCTTCTTCCTTAACAGCCCAATGATCGTCCTATCAAATCTCTCGGTTATGCCGTTCTCATGCGGGTTGTAACCCTTTGAGCAAACTTGGCGAATATAGCAGAGACGAGATTTTCACTTTCAACTTGCTGTCAAATTCTCCGCCTTGGTCAGACAGTATGGTTTTGGGATGCGGCAGCCGTCCGCCATCCAACGCTCAAATAACGTGCGCGCTACCATCTGTGCTGACTACGAGGCGAGTGGATATGCCCCACCGAACTTGGTGAAATGGTCGATCACGGACAAAATGTATTTGTTACATTTACATTTACATAAACGATTCTAATGTTATAGGTTTGAAACTCCAACACCCAGCGAAGAACTCTCGTCGAAGCATTTGAGCGTGTGAAGAGAGCTGTGAGGGATTGGTGATCAGTATAGACCTCGACCAAGAGCCCATAGACAAACATGGAATCTGCGCAGTGCCGTCACTACTGCGAGGGATTCCAAACCCGTAATATCGTAATTACCTCGCATTTGCTAAGACCTTTCGACGCAAAGTATACGGGATGCATCATGTTGTCATCGCCTTTTTGGCCCAATACTGCTCCTAAGCCTGAGTAACTGGAGTCTGTGTCGATACAAAAAGGTTTCGCTCCCAAATGCGCTCCCTCGATGTCGGATTGCGCCAGGATCGGTTAGACAGCGGACCTTGAGTGTGTCGAATGCTTGTGTGCGCTCTCTGTTCCATTTGAACGGAGCCTTTCCAAGCTCATGGCGTGGAGCGGAGCCGCTGCTTTGGAAGAACGCAGTATAAACTTGCTCTAGTAAGAACACATCCCTAGAAATATCTTCATTTTTGCGCGCATGCGTGGCATCGGATATTCCTGGATAGCTGCGGTTTTCTTTAGGTCCGCCTTGAGTGCGTCTCCAATGAGAACATGAGCCATAATTCCACGCAGTCGCACGGTGAGGGCTTCTCGTGCGCCCTTCACCGCGGTATGCAAGACGTACTCGACGCAGCCGATAAGAATTTATTGTGTGGTCACTACACCGACCACTGCAAGAACAAAATAGAACAAAATAGGATCTATTAATAGATCGCCGACCTTATATAGGCGCTAAAAGGGCGGGGTCGCTGGGCTGCTGTGATTGGTCCATTGGGGATCTGCCTTGTGACGTCATCGATTGTTGGCACCTTCCTATCGATTGGCAGGGGCGTCCTCCGCTCCTGGATGACGAAACCCGAGAACAAGGATAACTAGAACAACACAATTTAATAGAAAGCATCACATTTAAACAGCTACAATAACAACAGACATTTACATTACATGCAACAGTCATTACATACATACATGCCCGTCGGGGTTGAAGAGTCTTCCCGACTCTTAAGCATGGCTATTGTTTCCCCTCGGGTGTCTTGTCTTCCTTTCCCATCTTGCGCCTGCTTCCGGATGCTCCTCTAGCGGCTCCATAAGGGTGTGTTCTGCTCGGTGAAATACTTACTCTTCTCATTTTAGAACTACTCGCTCCCTCTTCGCATGAGCTTTGACCGGGGCGTCGAAACGGAAACTTCAGGTGGTATCGTCTCTACTCAGGGTCTGCGATGACGAAGGAATTTGGTTTAAATTCGTCCCGACGTCGCCTCCCTTGGTTGCTTGCTCCTCACGGCGCTTCTCCTTGAACTGGTTTGATGCTGGTTTGAACTCTTCCAGTCTGAGGATGTCGCTCATGTGGTCACACGCGTCTTCTTCAGGTACAAAACAATTTGGCGGTCAATGAATGGAGTCCCCTTGAAGCGCGGTTCCGTTCCGAGGCAAATCGCAGGGTGGGTGTACGGAGTGGTTTCCAGGACTTCCGAGTAGTGGTCTCTCACCACGACTTCGAAACCTCGATCCGGTGTGGTCATGAACCGAACGAATTACGCGCTCACTCTCCACATCAAAGTTCATTCTTGCTGGTTGTAATCCTCGTACGGACTCCGGAAGAACAGAAGTGTCTCACCAGGCTGTAGATGTCTTTCCGGGGCAATTAAAGTTGCCTCATAGACGGCATCATATCATTTCTGAAAGTACGTTGGACGTTTCTGAAAGTTCACATTCTCTGACATGGCTAACGCCGTCGTGATTTGGCCTTCCACATCATATTTAATGGGCCGCAGAAAAAGCGCCGGATGGTCGAATTTTAAACCCTCGGCAGCGTCGATGGCTTCCGCATAGATGTGACGACGGCGTCGATGTGCCCCCGTGACTAATGTGACATAAATTGAGGGTTTTTCACGCGTAGCTCCTGTTCTTTACGCTCATATCCCCAACATTCCTGCTCCGGGATGGAAGCCACATTGGTGAGCTGAAACATATCTGCCACACGTTTTGATCTGGCCATCGGGTGCATCAGCGTTGGCAATGCCACATAAGCCACTTGATCGAACAGCTCGCAGTCGCACTGTCGTCTCAGATTCAGCGGGTGGTCCATCGTGATCAGCGTTCTAAAACAGGTCACTTTTCAAAACCGCTAGCGAGATGAATTTCTCTTCGGGGTCTCTCCCTTTTCCTGTGTTGTTCTAATGGGCTCGTTCGAGACCTCTGCTGGCAACTTTACCACCATGTCAAAAGGTACTCGGACAAGAGTCTCTGCCCCAGGAGCGCTACACTCGCTCGTGTCTAGCACACGGTGTGGCCCTTCGCATGGGTTGACCAGCTTAGGATTTTGAGATAATTGCTCCTCGCGCGGAAGTTTCATGTACATCCTATCACCGACCTTCGATCATAAACGTCTAGTACATAAACGTTTGTTCCTATCATACGCGAACTTCATCTTGCGACGCATTTTATTGCTCTCCTCTCGTGCGTACTCGCGCGCAATGTTAGGCCGCTTACTTCCTGCGTGTAGCTCTCAATGTCTACTATTATTTGCTAGGTTTCTGACTTGGGATGGTGTTGCACGGAATATAAGGATCGAATCTGTGTAGCAAATAGACCGGTGAATCTCCAGTGGACTCATGGACTGTCGTATTATACGCAAATACGCAAAATGGGAGTATCTTATCCCACTCAGCAGGTACAGCTACCTTCTTTCTCAATATTTGGATTATTGTTCGATTAAATCTTTCTGTCAGACCATTCTCTCAGAGATTATAGCCCTTTGTATAGACATGGTCAATACCTAATAGTGATTTGAGCTCGTGCATCAATCCATTGTCCAACTCCCCTGCCTAGCTTGATAGAATTCATTTTGGCTGACGTCCTCCCTCAGCGATCCACCTTTCAAATAATACTCTAGCCACTTCAGGAGCTGTCTTTGATGGAATGGCGCATGCTCCACCAAACTTTGAAAAGTGGTCTATCAGTGGCTAACCAGGGAGGGGTAGTATACTTATCTTGGAACTTTGAATGGAGATCCAGATGAATCGATAGAGTTTTGAATGCTGTTTACGAAACTGGAAATTAAAACTGCAAAATGATTCTCCTTGTAAAGTTATGGGGGCCCGAATTTAGCTGGACAGCAGTATCAATTGGATATGCGAACTCGTCGCTTCCATATAAAGTGCCCACGTGGCCTAGTGGTAGTGGTCTCGCTCCATGAGCGTAGAATGAGGGTTTGCTCTCCGTCTGCAAAGCGTTTTTTCATACCATCAAAGGCTCTNTGCTCGGTGAAATACTTACTCTTCTCATTTTAGAACTACTCGCTCCCTCTTCGCATGAGCTTTGACCGGGGCGTCGAAACGNATAGTGATTTGAGCTCGTGCATCAATCCATTGTCCAACTCCCCTGCCTAGCTTGATAGAATTCATTTTGGCTGACGTCCTCCCTCAGCGATCCACCTTTCAAATAATACTCTAGCCACTTCAGGAGCTGTCTTTGATGGAATGGCGCATGCTCCACCAAACTTTGAAAAGTGGTCTATCAGTGGCTAACCAGGGAGGGGTAGTATACTTATCTTGGAACTTTGAATGGAGATCCAGATGAATCGATAGAGTTTTGAATGCTGTTTACGAAACTGGAAATTAAAACTGCAAAATGATTCTCCTTGTAAAGTTATGGGGGCCCGAATTTAGCTGGACAGCAGTATCAATTGGATATGCGAACTCGTCGCTTCCATATAAAGTGCCCACGTGGCCTAGTGGTAGTGGTCTCGCTCCATGAGCGTAGAATGAGGGTTTGCTCTCCGTCTGCAAAGCGTTTTTTCATACCATCAAAGGCTCTCCAAACCTTTTTGACATTTCTTCAAGTGAACGCTTCATTTCTGCTTTTATTTTCTCTCGTCGCCTCTAACCAAGGAAATCAGTTCTGCACGTCATCTGTATGACTCTGTTTTGTTTCAAGATCATTAGACAGAAAGACACTAGAGATGTGTAAGATGCCTGCAAGAAACTCAACACTGATGGAAAAATCTTGGAAACTTGCGGCTACCTTCCTTTCTTCGCGAGTTGCCGCACTGCCGTCTTCAGACGTCCCGAACTCGGCGAGAAGAATCGATACTACCTTTGCAGGAGAAAAATTCATGATAAATGAAGACTTATCGATGATTTTTTTCATTTTTCTATTGCCCTGTCTTGTCGAAATTCTGATCAATCCTGTTGCATCCTGTGCAGTCTTGAGACGATTGGCTGCTATGTTACCGGATGTAGAGAATCAGCATGCATAAGGTACGCAGTTTGTGAAGAACCTATTAAAGTTCGGGACCACTTCCCTTGAATAGGAGCGACGAGAGAAAATAAAAGCAGAAATGAGGCGTTCACTGAAGATATGTCAGAAAACTTTTAGGGAGCTTTTGGGGAAATGAAAAAACACTTTGCAAAAATGCAGACAATGGCGGGGAGTTAACCCTCATCTTACGCCCATGAAGCGAGACCACTACCACTAGGCCACGTGGGCCCTTTATATACAGGGTGTCCCAAAATTATTTGCGCCAAAGTTCAGTAATTTTTAAGGTAGAAATAATCTATCAAATTCACATCACCTGGTATTGATTAGTTGCATAAGAAGGTTTCCTTGCAATATGCATGGTTGCTGATGTGGAACTCCCATTATCTTTCAGATGGAGGAGGCTCATTCAATGCCACTTGCAATCATTGACGCGCGAGAAGTGGAAGGGCGTTATGAAATTCTTTGGGATTTTTCTAATAACCGTATAGGAGGCTATTAAACGATATAGCAAAGAGGATTGAATCAGATACAAACCAGGAAAGATAGAAAGGTAGAATGATTCTGAAAATAGGACTATNACAGTAAAATGATGTTTTTCGAGGAAATCACTGGCAAGGGTAAGCCGCTCGTGGTTTCTTCGGTGCAGGCGTGAAAATTGACCAAGACCAGTACTCAAACGGCGTACTAATGGAAGTAAATAAAACAATGATCCGACTTCCTTTTCTGAAACATCTCATACTCCTTCCAGCAGGACGCTACTCCAGTCCACAGAGCCAAGTTTGCCCTCGAGTGGTGCCGACGACAGCTGCCCGACTTCATTGGTGAAGAGGAATGGTCATCCTATTCTCCAGAACCTGACTCACTGAAATCCCACGAATGGTCTCTGATTAGAAGAGGACCTGTCGAGTTTGCAGTCCCAGTTTGGAGTCCTAGAATGCAAAAGCTGGAGGACGGCTGGGAAGAAATGGAGAAGGATACCTGCGTGCCACATGCGATCAAGTCGAAAGCAAACTTTTTCTTCTATTCGCGCTCACGGGGGATATTTTGAAATGCGACTTTAGCATGTTGTAGCACAGTGTTAGCTAGCGTGCATAGAAATTCCATCGTCTTTCGCAGCTGAGAAGTTTCAAATATATTGCTATAAATCGGCGCAAATAATTTTGGGACACCCTGTAGAAGCGACGAGTTCACATATCCAATTGATACTGCTGTCGAACAAAAGTCGGGCCCTCATAACTTAGTAAGGAAAACCATTTTGCTGTTTTAATTTCCAGTTTCGTGAACAGCATTCAAAACTATATCGATTTACCCGGGCCTCCATTCAAATTCCGAGATAAGTAGACTACCCCTCCTTGGTAAGTATTTAACGGTTCCCACTTCAAGTTAACTCTATTTCTAGGATATCGACGCCTACTTGTTCGTACGGCTCCGATGTAACGATGGGTACCGACCCTGGTGTCATAGGGTGGCGACTATTGTGGCATAGGCATTTCTGACACTCCTGGGACCACTGAGTGATATCCCGCTTCATTGTCCCCCAGAACAACTCTTTTGACAGTTGCCTGGTCATCTTTCTACGACCAAAGCAACCAGCTAACAAACCTGAGTGTAACTCCTCGAAAACTGCCTTTCTCTTGGACGCTGGAACAACGCTTCGAACAGAACAATTGTCTAGTAGAGGGGGATAGCCTTGATCCATGACAAAGTCTGCCACTTTAGCTTTTGAGACAGTTTAGGGATTGCGATATCCCTGTCCGGATTTAATTCTCCAAGCTCCCTATGATCTCAGTATAAGTAGGGTCCTGTCGAAGTTTCGTCGTCCACTCCGGCTCCTCCAAAGCCGCAGCCACGATGAGTTTATTGAGAATACACCCTAATTTCTCTTCCCCTTTTGAAGGGATAGCTCCACGACTCAGGGCATCCGCTACGCGATTCGCAGCTCCTTTCAGATGGATGATTTCCAAATTATACTTCTAAAGTTCAAGGTTCCATCTGAGTACTCTGGCTGACACATTAGTGCGTTTGAAAAGTGTCGTCAAGGGTTGGTGGTCGGTGTACACCTTTACTGGAAGTCCGTATCCAAACTTATGGAACTTGCTCAGGGCAAAACCGACCGCCAACGCTTCCAAATCAGTTACGTGGTAGTTCCTTCCACATCGTGAAAGGCCTTTCGAAGCAACGAACACCGGATGCAGAAAGCCATCCTCCCTTCCTAGCTTCGCGTTGTCTGTTTCAAGTGGGACATGCCTGTAAGCGCTCAGTCATCTAGCTTGCTATGTATGTCCGGCGCACGCAAAAAAATTGTCTTGCAAAACACGGTCGCCACAATCCGTTGGGTAACTTTGGAGTAGAGTCCTCTGCTCCAGTCAACCCTTTGGGGGTGCCTGTCTAGCCAGCTATCCAAGTCCGCCGCTCTTTCAACGGCCCCAGGCTCGGTTTCGTCTCTGGAATTCGGGGATTCCCCGAGATCCTGGCAAGGGAAACATACCTCAACAACTGAAACTCGAATAGCTTGGCCCCATGTAATGGAGCCTAGGCTCCAGTCGGTTCTAGAGGGGATAATTCCTTACCTCCTCACCCGTGAGAGGAGCAACCGTCCTCTGTGGCGGTAGTGTCGAAACTGCCTTCTTAGGTCCTACGTTCGACTGAGGGATGAGTATTGTAAAGACTACGTCCGCAAGGAGGCTTAGGGAGAAAAAGCAGACATCGGTTGCGCGGGATCACACCTTCCTTATCGATTCGAATGTTCATAAACAGATAGAGAGGGTTAAAGGACTATACTACTAACATAACTACGATTACTATCTACAGCTCTTTCATATGGGCATTGGGCACTCCTTCACAGTTTACCATTCTTTCCGCAAGCCTGGATGGGCGTTGGCCTCCTGTTCTTCGCACATGCTCTTAGGCATCGGGGTTCACCCCTTATTTTCGAAAGGGAGTTTACTATATATGTGCTTCGAATTTGTGGGTTGATTTTGCTTGTTAATTGTTCAGTTGGTTAATGCCAAGAGGGAACCCTAAGGTGAAGTCTGCTTGAGTATTAGTGACATCTATCTCCTAATAACCGCTCTAAATCAACCACACCCTAGAGGAACGTGTTGATCTTGGGATAAGATAAGGTTGGGTAGGGATGTGAAAACAGTGATGGTTCAGTCGGACTTCCTGCATCGTCCACAGTTGGTTGCCTTGTCCACTGGCTGCTCTTTCTGCATCGTTTGAAAAAGGTTGTCTTTTTTACCTATGTGCTCTATTGTTTGATCGTTCCTGTGCTGGGTAACTTTGCACAGATACCATTCTTGCAGCGTACTGTCGATTGCTTTAGCAGGGAGACCATTAGAACTGCCTGTAGTATATATTTGCTTCTTTGCACCCAAATGGTGATGGCAGATGGCATCGCAAATGATTGATCTCTTGTAAACTACAAGCGCTGTTGTACAGCTATGTCTTGAGAAGCATTGGAATCAAAGAATCAATTACTTTCCCAAGTCAACTGCTGTGGTCAGAGCAGCTTTGGTGTGGCTCAGACCACGTTGGCATCCCGCTCCACTTTGAGCTGGGTCATGTGATCCTTTTAACCTATGGAGGATTGACTTGATACATCGATTCGCTTGCTCTCCTGACGGCCGTCGGACTGTATGTGACTCTACCCTTTCGCTCGCGAACTTACCCATGATTGTGATGAAGGGAGAGTTGCGGAAGACCCACCGCTAGTCGAGGTAGTACCATTAATAAGTAAGCTCTGAAGATAAGTCGGTGTAGTGATAATGATACAATGGCAGAAGGATCTTCGGCTGGCGCTGGGCTTCCCTACTTCCCTTTACAAGGTTGAAATGCAGGATCGACCACACTCCTCGGAACAAACGGTCCATTTCTGACCACAAATCTCTGAGAGGGAATCCGACAATTCACAGGGGCACTACAAGTTCCACAGAGAGTTTATACGTTTATTGTTTGCACTCAAGAAATCTTCATCTGTTGCCTTCGATCTTAACAATAGCAATTCATTGAGGACATAAGGACCTTCCTTGTCTTGCGCCTACTGGCACATTGATTATCTACAGCGATGTAGACTGGTTATTGAAGCAGACCGTGAGGACTTACTGAGCATATGGGCTGATAAGAGCATGTTATCAAAAGCTGATACCTACGAACCCTCTCTTCTTCATAAATGTAAACCATTTGCCAAGGTTCCCACATTATTAGCGGTCGGACAAATTTTGTCGGATAACTGATATCGGATTGAAGAGAATACGGGGTGACGGAATTCTCTGATTCCCATGGCCTGCGGCAGTTGTTCCGCGTCGACTCTCCGTATCCTTTCGCTGGGAATTCGAGTCCTTCACAACGAGCACGACGCGCCGTTCGGGGAGAAGATACCAGACTCAGAGAGTACATGATCCTTATTGAGTCGCAAACCCTGAGTTGTAGCGAACATAACCTCAAAGCGAGGAATGAACCAATCTTCGTGCACTGATACTGTCCTTGATCGCTCCTTATCACCGACACTCACACACGATACATACACCAACATACACCGACACAAATGCACACCGAAATACACACAGAGACATACACCGGCACAAGTACACACCGGCACAGACTCGCACACACCGTTACAATCACACCACCCACACACCGACACAAACACGCGTCGACATAGAAGCACACACTCTCATACACACACCCGACACATAGACAAACACATCACTGCACCACACGCTTCGACATACGCAGACACCGACAAACGCAGTGATACACACACTGATACACGCAGTTATAGACACACTGACACACATACGCCCACAGAAACACGCACCGACACATACGGTCCGACATATACGCTTCGATTCGAACACAACGACTGACATACCCCGACACATACACCTACATACATGCACCGCAGCACACACCGACATAAACACACATATACCTAAGATACACACGACATACACACCGAAATACGCACATCAACATACAAAGACGCCTACACAAATACACACCGACACACACAGACACATGCAGTTCAAATATACATCGATACACGCAGTCATACACACAGCACACATCGATACACAACACACACCGACGCACCCCGCCATCGACACGCTACACCGTCACACACAACACACCGACACAAATACGCACCGACATACAGACACACTTTTATACAATTATATATCGTGGGATAGTAGGAACTTAGTGGGCCCTTGGGGCTTCCTCAGGTGTTGAAAAATAAGGACCTACTGATTGAGCATTTGAAATGGCTTATTAGGTCCAATAACCACTTTTGATCTATTTGAAGCCTTTGAGCTAGAACACCATTAATGTATTGGCCTACTTCAACAGTTGCTAATCCGCCTGCTCCTGTAACTTCTCCATGTTCCCGTCTTGAAAATAGTACGAACCAGATTTCGGATAAACTGAAACCTGGAGGTTTAAACATTTTTCAGAGTAAACCGTTAGTCTCACCTCTATCCGAAATCATAGAAGATGGCAGAACCAACCACAGAAAAAAGCAACGAACCGCATTTCACGGTGAGTCAGTTCCAGGAATATTTAGATAGGAAAACTGATTTTCGATCTAAACCTTGTGGCTGAACATCCTGTGACATCTGTACTTTCTCTAATAGTAAGAAGGCTTATTGAAAGGTAATTGGGGCTTCCATGTTTGAGGTTTCCAATTGTAAAACTGAAAACTTTGGTAGAAAACAACTTGTATTCAAACATTGCAAAAATGGCGGCTTGTTTTGTTTATAGAACACAACATTTTTTGGAATGGATCTTTTTATATGAGAAAGGAGTGACCGCTAGTAGCGATAGTAATGTGAAATGACGAAGTTTCGTTGAATTTCTGAAGCCAACGGCATCCTGAATAACACTGAATGCCGCTTGTTTCCAGGGCGATCCAAAGGATGCTCCTATTCCTCCTCCTTATTTAACCAAACTCAGTCGTCCCCCTTCACCCGGACACCTTATGGAGATTCGTGGAGTCGTCAACAACAATGCTAAAAAGTCAGAACCTTTCCTTTCCTATTGAAGTATGGCAACTATACCCCTTGGAATATAAAAGGATTTCAGAGTTCCTATGGCTATCTTTTACGGTAAAACGGCAAAGTTATGGGTGATTTTTGATTACGATTCAACGAGACTCGCTGTGACGGTCGAAAAGGCAGGCTCTTTTTGTACCGAATTCTTGATTCAAGAAAGTTTTGACACAAAAAGAAAGGATATAGGTTTGAGTCGTGTCCAGGGCAATAGGCTGCTGCTTTGCTTGTGTTAATGTCATTATCTCCCACCCTAGAGAGGTAAATCAATTTCAAGGGAAGGCATGATTAATTGGGTGTTCTGACCTATTTCTGTTTTTGTCCAAAACATTATATACGACAAATTTGTTTCAGGGTAAACATGTGGAGGGAGCTGTCCAAACAGATCTACCGTTCCTCAAAGGGCAACCATTCCAACTTGGCCTTCGGTAATTCCTCCTAATTTAGCATTTTTCTGTTCTTTGTTTGATGATTCACCAACTTCCCACTCAGTTTCTTTTCCTTTGGAAAGTGTTGCTCTGTATTGACCTCAGCAGCCTCCAAAATGAAGCCTACCCCTGTAAGGAATGTTTAAAACCTCGTGCATAGGGTAACCCCAATGTTTCCCATTAGCTTATCGAGAATCCCTTACAGTTGATCCTATGTCCAGTAAGACTACTTACGAACAGGATTCCTCTATAACAGACCTCGGAGGGAAGTTTGGATTCTTTCACTGGTTCCAGTTCATGCTATAGAAAAGAACATTTCGCCTTCTCTCGATGATCAGGGACGTGGTATCATTAGTGCAATCCATATGAGCTCAGCGCTGATAAAGGGATAGAATTTTCCCATGTCTGCATCGGAACCATAGCGTACATGGTAGTCCAATCCCAAAAAAATCCAATGTTTTTAAGGTTTAATCAAGATAATTTGGAAATCT